TATGTATTTTATTTTATTTGTTTCATATTTCTTATTTCATCCACGTTTTCAATTAGACTAAATTTGACAATAAATAGTTTGAAAATATATTTTCTGCAGCTATTAGTTTTTAATATTAATTTACAATATGGTCACTCAACACTTAGCAAAAGCCTCTACCTCAAGAGGTAGAGGAGCCAAATGGCTGGCTCACTGCTGCCAACTAGTGGTCAGAGACTGAACTACAACATAAAAATGAACGGCTGGCAGGAAAGTTGACGTTTTAAACCTTAATAAAAAAAAGTCCATACAGGGCTTTAGAATATCGATACAGTATCGGGAAATGAAATATTGCGATATTTCAGTATATTGATATTTTCTTACACCCCTACAAACCAATGGATGGATTTTAATGAAACTCCGGAAGTAACAAATGGAATGTCTTCTTTGAAGGTTTGGATTTTTGGGTTAAACCAGTTCGACACACAAATGCCTTCAACACAGATATTGAGCTCAAATAGGGTATTGTAGCAGTAGCTTCTGCAGCTACTTGGCGAGCACAAAAATTTTACAGTTTTAGAGATGTTGAACTAAAATTTGATGGGACAGTTCTCTTCAAAACGTGCTTTGATTGGTACGAGTTGAAAAGTTTATTTTCTTTAAAATTTACAATGGCTATCTTAAATAATGTAACACAAAAATGACTATAACTCAGTTTAGAGATATTGAGCTGAAATTTGTTGAGATAGTAGCTGACAGTAATTCTTAAAACATATTTTAATACAAATCTCTACGTTCTTTGTTCAAAATTCAAAATGGCCCCCATAGCTACCCTGGCTGGTGTGGTTCCTCAACAAATACAGTAGAGATCACTAAGTTCATTGCCTAATAAATTATTAAACAGGATTTTGTACAAGGGTTGGGCAAACTTGTATCGTGTGTTACTAATCGTCAGAAAAACAGTAATCGATCTTTTTTTTGGCACTTGATGATTTATACGATAGGCAGACTGACTGATACTCCTCTGCTTCAAATATGACAAACATTTTTTTAAGTGCTGGAATTTATTTATCATAACTCCAGTTTGACTTGGTCTATCAACACAATTTAAAATTTGATGTGTAGCCTGAAGTTTGTCCTTTTGACACAATTTGAAACAGAGTGATTAAATTCGTCCTGTGACTAGAGCATGCAGGCATCCAGGGACTCCAGAGGTTTAATTATCATATTAATCATTATCGGCTAAATATCACAATTAATCGTGATTCATTTTTTTGCCAATACTGCCCAACCCTACTTTAACTATATGCACTGTAAAATATTAGACATTCAAATAAATCTCTATATACTGTACATTTGTTAAATGTCAACAAATATTTAGATTTTTTTCCGTAATTAGCCAATTGTTTTTGTGCATTCCTAATTTTTGGTTCCTTATTTTAATTTTACTTTTCTGATGGATTAGTGTGTTTTGATGGTAGAGCGGTAATGTCACCACAACTTTTTCCAAATAACACCGCCTCAGTAACAGAAAAAGAACCGGGATCACTTCAGGTTTTTTGGGCAGGAAAATGCACCATGGTGTGTGGCAAACACCTCAGAACACTAATACCATCCTGGGGTAGTAATAGGTACTCTGGTGTAGATCGAATTAAAAAAAAGTTTTCAAAAATAAAAAACTGTTTTCATTTGGAAACTTTGACTATTCAGATGTTTAAAATGTATCTCTAATTCTAAGTAATGTAGAAAACAAACATAAAATTGTTGAAAACTTTGGTCTAGCCAGGTAACTGAACTTTATTCATGGAAACGTCTGGATGGGATCTGAAACCAGTCGTATCTCTCGACCATTTTTCAGGTCTTTGTGAATATAAAGTTGTCAGTTTTCCTTCTTCCTCCTTCCAGTTTCCTGCTAGTAATTACTTGAAGTAACTGAGCTCGTTTTTCTTCCTGGGATACATGTGGTGTGGTTTCATTTTAACACCCACTTTAGTTTCGTATTTATGAGGTGGTAACTGTGGAAAAGAAGTGCCTCTGCATATTGGTGGGTGTTCAGGAGCAGAGGGAGAAGCAAAGCTGCCGTTGATGGACGTTAACTGAAGCAGACAGGCGAGTTAGACGTTGTGATGGAGCGGGTTTGATGAGGTCATAGAACGAGGCTGTGGTCATGGCGTTGTAGAGGTGAGGCTGGTTTAAAGCAGTCCGAGTTTTTCCCACTTCAGGCCTGTTTACATTACCAGAATGGTGAAAACGTCTGGATAATGAGACGGGATGTTTGTACAGTTCTGTCGTCCCAAGAGAACACCCTCTTCATCCTCCTCCCACACTCATTCTACTGCTTGTTGCGCCTATAGCCTGAACCCTCGACCCCTCCACTTTCCAGCAGTTGCCATATTTGCATTCCCAGTCCACTCAAGGAAGAGACTGGGGGGGGGCTTGGTGTCGGGTGAGTGAACCCCTTCCTCTTTCCCTGAAAGTACAGCAGGCTTCATTCTCACCCACTGGCCTGGCCTGCCAACCCGGACAGCAGTCTGGGGTTAATGCACCAAGCACGCCTATTGTCTCCTAATTAATGGGTCTGTCTGTTCCCATTTAGTGACAGTGTGACAAATGACAAGTGGTACCTTTTTAAATGGCTGTCGACACTCTCCGGGGGCCCAAAGTCACAAGGTGGGAGTTCATGTTCAGAGCCAAGGTCTAAGACAGGACTCGCTTTCATCTGTTTACATCCTGAGTCCAGTGTGGTTCCGAGCATGCTCCACAGGGTTTATATGGACATTGGATGGCTCTCAGATGGTGGGTGAAGAGTCTGAGCCCCAGTGTGTTTTCACTTCAGAAAATGGAAGGTGATGGTTTGAGTGTCTTAAAGAATGGTGAGGGAGACCTCTAGTGGAAGGCTGGGGGAACCGTCCAGTTTGTTGCACTGGACACCATCACATCATGTCGCATTAAATGATGCCTACTTACTTCATTTCTTCTCTCAGGTCATCTTCTTCTTTTCTGTTTATTTCCAAAGCTTTCTGTTCTGTCTGAGAGCCTCATTCTTTGTATAAACCAATTTTAAAAAATCAAACTCGACAAACAACTTTAAATCCTTCAGCTAAGTTAATACCTCACATCTTTGAAGGACAGAATCTCCCACATATCCTTCAATATGCTCTATCTTGAAGAAGCCATTCATTGCATCACTTTTGTATTTTATTTAAAAAATCAAAAAAAAAATTCTAAAACCTGCTGTCTCTTTGTCACATTCATCTAAAGCCCCAACAAATGAATTCATGTGCAGTGTTGTCTGAGCTGGTACTATTTTATTATCCAGCTCTCGAAACAAAGCCAGCTGGTTTTCTGTAGATCAGTAAATTAGTTGAAGGATTTATTGTTTGTAACACTCCTCAGTGAATTATGTGGAGAGAACAAATTCCTAAATTGCAGATTTCAAAAAAACTGTTGCCCTTTTATATATATAAAAAATACCGTAAATGATTTTTTTTTTATTTGGACACTTTTAAAACATGGATTTATTATCACCTGCAGTAAAAATTGCAACAATGTGTTTGACCCTGTCTGTGTTTGTATTGTTAGCAAAATATCTCATGGATCATTGGAGAAATTTGAATAAAACTCTCAGAATGTAATCACTAGAAGTAACCCAACAACCAGTTAACTAACGGAGTCAACTTAGGTTGGGTGATTGGACGAATTTATTTACCAACAATGGGTTGAGCTCTTCAATTTATGAGTGTTTTTTAATTATTTATTTGTTTATATATATTTTTGGGCTATGAGTTAGTTTTCTAATTAATAATTAGTTAAAGCCAAAAGAAAAATCCCACGGAAAAAAAAACATGCTGTTCTCAATGGTACACACTGCGTTCCTCCAAGTGCAGCGCTGATTTATTCACTCAAACTTAAATCAAAAGAAAGAATGGCAGCAGCCTATGTTCAGAAAATACATTTATTTAAACAAAAAACACAAAAGTAGGGAGGCTTGTCATTTTTTACCCCAGTATGACTGTAATTACAGGACGTTCCTGTGTTTATCTGTCTTACAGACTCAGCTCAGTGTGAAACAACAAAAAATCAACGATAAAAATGATCTCCAGCGAACATGTGCTCTTTACTGCACTTTTAAGTATTTCTGAGCAATTTGGTGTATATAAAATAAATAAATGAATGAATAATTCAAAAACTCAATGTACAGATGTTAGACAATGAAACTGAAACACCTGTCATTTTAGTGTGGGAGGCTTCATGGCTAAACTGGACCAGCCTGGTGGCCAATCGTCATTAATTGCACATAGCAAGAGCAGAGTGTGAAGGTTCAATTATCAGGGTAAGAGCACAGTTTTGCTCAAAATATTGCAATGCACACAATGTTATGGGTGACATACAAGAGTTCAAAAGAGGACAAATTGTTGGTGCACGTCTTGCTGGTGCATCTGTGACCAAGACAGCAAGTCTTTGTGATGTAACAAGAGCCACAGTATCCAGGGTAATGTCAGCCTACCACCAAGAAGGATGAACCACATCCAACAGGATTAACTGTGGACACAAGAGGAAGCTGTCTGAAAGGGATGTTATGGTCTAAAACCAGGTGTTTCAGTTTCATTGTCTAACTCCTGTAGAATGAGAACAAGAAGAAAAAAGGAAACTATTCCTTCCAAATAAAGATTAGAAATTCTTTGAAAATAAACAAGTATTGTTTTTAAAGAGTCCAAACATCACTGGTGCCAATATTTCCCCCATCGTTATCTGTTGGACTGATGAAAATCGTTTGGAAAAATGGGCAGGTTACGTGGTGCTGAGAGTAGTTCTGAGATCTAACACTCACATGGAACTACATCTATAGGGTTTTACTGAAACAGATACAATCTGTCATTTTCTTTGAAAACTCTGCCTGAAAAGAAGCGTTGCAGGTTTCATTTCTCTCTCTCCTTCTGCCTGAGAATTGTTAACGTCTGCACTGTCAGCTGCAGGTGTGACCTTTAGAACTGACCTCTGACCTTCTCTTGTCACGGCAGTGCTGAGCATCCGCGGAGCCCAGGAGGAGGAGCCTCCAGACCCCCAGCTCATGCGACTGGACAACATGCTGCTGGCAGAGGGGGTGTCCGGCCCAGAGAAAGGCGGGGGCTCCGCCGCCGCAGCTGCCGCCGCCGCCGCTTCGGGAGGGGCGGGGGCCGACAACTCAGCCGAGCACTCGGACTACCGAGCCAAGCTGTCCCAGATCCGACAGATTTACCACACAGAACTGGAGAAGTACGAGCAGGTGAGACCAGCAGGACCAGCCCACCGTCTTACAAACTCAGAACGATTTAACGTTTTGCCTTTCTCTCGTATCAAATTCACTCTCGAAAATCTTTTGTATGTTACTTTTTTGTATCTTTTAAGATTTTAAGACTTTTGTGTTTTTTTCTTTACAAAAGCCTTTGTAGCTAAAATGAGACACATCTTGCTGTTCTTTATGTACTGATCGAGGCTGTAGTTATGGTCTTATTTCCTGTTTCGAGTTATACCATATTTGTAAAAGACAGAGAAAACCACATCATTTTTAAAATCATATTGCTCCTACAGTTTCAGGGGTTTTTGTAAGAATATCAGAGACATGGCAACATTTTCTTATAAATTTGTAACTCGCATAGTCCTGTGATCTGTCACTCAGCTGTGTACGGTGGCCAAAAGAGCAAAACTCCTTTTAAAAACAAAGACTAAGATTAATATGTAGCAAAATTCCCAGACATTTCCAGCTTGTTCACTAAAACAGCGATGCTCATCTTTGCTGAAAGCTACAAGAGTTAGCATGTTAGCAAGTGGAAAATACACAGCCTACTGCTGGCTCACTGTGTAGCATAATAACTCAGCCGTTTAATTAACAAACATCAGCTTGTCAGGCTCTGTGTTACTTCTCAAAGAGTAGAACTTGGTGTGTTAAAATAAGTATCTCACAGAGTCTCAGGAGTACTAGACCTGTTTTCTTTATCTTTTTTTCCTGCCACAGAAAACATCTTTTGACAGAAATGTTTGGAGGCAAATGTTTAAGTCGAAAAATCTCATCGATGATCAATAATAATTATTAAAAGCTGGTCCAGATCTGCCTATTTTAATTGGACAGCCATTGGGCAGTCTTTGCTAACGAGACAAGACTTTATGAGAGTTGCCACATGTAGCAACGTGTATTCTAAGATACACTGTATTGCCAAAAGTTTTTACTCACCCACCAGGGCACAAAGCAAGGTCCATAAAGACATTTGGATGGCAGAGTCTGGTGTGGATGGACTGGACTGGCCTGCACAGAGTCCTGAACTCAACCCATCAGAACAACTTTGGGACGAATTAGAGCTGAGAGCCAGGCCTTCTGTCCAACATCAGTATGTGACCTCACAACTGTGCTTCTGGAAGAATGGTCAAAAATCACCATAAACACTCCTTAAAATTTGTGGAGTTGTTCCAGCTGCAAAGGATGGACCAACGTGATACTGAACCCTATGAATTAGGAATGGGATGTACCCTAAGCTTATATGTGAGTCAAGGCAGGTTGGCAACATAGTGTACTACCAAAATACAATAAATGTGAAAAATCCAGTGTTTTCTATTAATTGTTATAATTATAGGAACCAGCACTTTTAATTACACATCATTACATTTCATCAGTGAGTATTATACCATATTAGCTCATAAATCACTGAAAATCACCTTGTCTGTCTCGTCCATGTATCTGTTAGCATATGCTACTAGAAAATAGATCATAAATCAAAATTTATCTGTGCTAAAGTGATAAATTACACTCCATTACAATGTTTAAGTAAATTTATACCTTCCAGAAACACGAGTACATATGTAGAATTATCGGTTTGCTTAGTTTCAACACTTTTCAAATCCAGAATAAAGTACTAAGAGTTTGTAGTTGTACTCATGCCTGTGTTGACTGAAGCTGATTAGTTGTGGCGAACGTTATAATTCCAGATGTTAAGTAGTTATCTAAATACAATCAATGATTTCTTTCTGTGTCTCATTAAAATCCAGCCTGTGGGTTATTACATATTTTGCTAACAGCAATGATTGACAAATTAACACACTGATGCAGGCAAAAACTTTATCACACTTTAAATGAACATTTTAGTGTCCTGATCCTGCTGGTCAGGACAATACAGAACAATACCCCGCTTCTTTGCTCACCTGATTTATAATAAAGTGTCAGCCCGTGCAGACTGAAACTTTTTCTCCAACATAAAAAGCCTCACTGTAAGACTTTGTGTTGTTTCTACCCCAGAATAGTCCATGATATACAGCATGTTGTGTCGCTGTGTGTATTTCAAGTGTAGCCTTGAAAGGTTATATTGGTGCGGGGTGGGGTCTCGTTGCCTCGATATCCGATGCGTTCACAACAATAGCATCCCTTTTAGATGAATGGGAGTGAGACAGATGAGCAGGCAGGTAGACAGGCTCAGACAAAGCCTGACACAGCTAAATCCAGAGAGAGATCAACAAGGAGAGCAGAAACCAAGAAGATGAGACAGTAAGAGAGCGAGTCGAAGTGTTAATATCGCAGCAGATTCATGCCTAGTGTCACATGGGGGGGCGATGAAACGTCGCTGCAGCTCCGTCTCCCAGGGTTAGCTACGCTACGAGAAGTGTGTCTGAGAGGGGAGCAGCTGTCACAGGATCGTTCTCAACATGCTTCAGTCACAATTTGTGTTAAGTATGAAACATATCGATGGTTACATTCTGCCTGGGCTCAATCTGACTTTCCAGTGCGCCGCTCTTTGTGCACAAAGATCTGACGTGGTCCCATTGACAGATCAAAGTGTCCGCTGCAGCTCGGTTTGACTTAAAGGGAAGTTTGCTTTTTGATGTGTCTGTGTGTTTTTGCTATCTGGTGGGGACGATTTTTGACCATTTTCCCACTACACACAGCCTGGTGAGAACCCACTGTTCCTTATGGGCAGAGTTGTACAGTAACTAAGTACAAATACTTTGTTACTGTACTTAGGTAAAATGTTTGGGTATCTGTACTTTGCTTGAGTAATTATCTTTCAGCCTACTTTTTACTTCTTCTCCTTACATTTTTTAAAAAGGCAAGAAGTAGAAAGTCTTTACTTTTATTTCATTATTCCTTTTTTTCATTCCAGCTTGTTATTATAGAATAAATACTATCTATATAAACTGTGCCTCCTAGATAGAGTGAATTTAATTGTGGTTGAATGAGAAGTATAAATATTTAAAATTCTGATACCATATTAGTTTGTATACAAACAAATCATGTCACACTCCAGCAGGACATAATCATTAAAATAAAAGTATTGTACTTAAGAAGTATTTGTATTTCATGAATTATATTATTACATTTGGCCGCAGCCCTCAGGTAGATTTTCATTTTGGGGAAAAGGTTTGGGCCTCCTTGATATATGTATATAAACTGAAACAGCTGGACTAGTACATCCTGAATTATTTATTAATTCATTCTTTTCATACAACAGTCATTTCTGCAGTTTTTGGGGAGGTCACCTCCTAATAAATGTCCTTACAGAAAATCTATCTGCTAATTTTAAATCAATACTTTTACTTTTTAAAAAAAATCAGATATTTTAAGACTTTTACTCATGTAATATTCCTAAAGGAAACTTTTACCAAAGTCATTTTTTGGTAATATACTTGTACTTTTATTCAAGTATCACTTTGTGGTACTTTAGGTTAGGGCTAGGTTTAGGGAGGGTTAGGCTATGGAAATGACCAGTAAATTTATGAATGGAAGTCAATGCAAAGTCCCCATGAGGATAGAAGAACAAGCGTATGTGTGTGTGTGTGTCACATTTTGTGAAGACTGGACCCAGGAATGCAGACTGACCCAAAACACTCGAGTAAAAACTTACATTTATTAGACATTAGGAAAGAAAAACTTACAGTTAAATCAAATTGGAGGCGACCCAGAGGAGAACCAGACATGGCATGAACACAATGCCAGACTGCAGACGAAGTGAAGACTGGGCAAATGAAAAGGCACAAACTGAGGAGCCAGTTACACTAAGCTGCTTTTCTATTAAATTGTAATTTTTTGTTGTGGCTCTGCAGTTTGCTTACATGACAACAGTAGCTGCATTTCCATTGCAAATGTGCTCAAAACTTTGTCGATATTTTAATGTCAAAAAAACACAGTTTCGCAATTGTGGTGTTTCCATTAAGTAAGAAATACTATTAAAGTCACGCGTGAATACGCTTATTCTCGCGATAATTCATTACAAACATGGCGGCAATAGATGTAAACACATCGCATAATTGCTACCACGACACTAGCGCTCATCATCAGCCACCAGAGCAGACGTTGGCGTCTTATCCAGTCTTTCGAGCGACAAGCCCCTAATACTTGGGAGCGGCTACGTATGCTGCGTTTTTGGAAAAATGTAGTCGGTGAGTTTAATACTTTCTTTTACTACTTCGGTGATTTCAGTACTACTTTTACTTCCTGTTATCTTCTCCTTCTTCGTCTATTCGCCAGTAGAAACATCCGGTTCTTGATCATGTGACTCCCGTGATGCGAAAAAAGTGGTTCCATTGCAGTTTTGCGAAATACATCAATTTCGATACGGCTGAAAAACCACCTCTTCCTAGCGCAAAAACATTTAGTTGAAAAACTTCTTTTTTTTTCGAAATTGACTTGTTTCCATTGAGCAAATTTATTTTCGAAATTCTAATTTGTGTATTTTCATGGTCAATGGAAACACAGCTATTGAGAGTCTCTGACACTGGAACTGTTTGAATCCAGGTGTCAGAATGGAGCGTTTCATGAGAGTCAGAGGTGTGCAATATTCTGCACATGCACCATAAAGATTTTTGTCTGCACAAGGGCTGCACGATACTGGAAATCGCAATTTTGTTAGTAAAACCCAGCCCCTTGTTCAACGCTTTGCTTCATATAGAGTCTCTGTGTTGTTGAGAAACAATTCCTTGTTGGAGGCATGGACTCTGTTGAAGTTTAAAACAATTGGATCTGATTTATCCAATTGCTAATATTTGGCCATGGCGTATGTAGTGCGCCAGCTCGACCGTGAAGGAAGCTAAGCTAAGCTAACCGGGAACTGCGTGCGCTGTAAACAACCATCCCCTACTGAGAGAAGAGAAGTGCTGAGCCGAATGAGATGACTGTAAATGAGAGCTGCAGCTTTGAGAGACAAATTTAATTTAATTTGGAAGCCTTGTCAACACACACTGAATGGCTTCATTGACTTCCTCCGCTGCCACTGCTAAACTACAGACAGACTCATGGTGCGTTCACACCAAACGCGATTTCAGCATCAGGAGCATCAGGTTTGCATACAAAGTCTATGGTGGACACGCTTCAATCAGTGTTGGGAAGTGCTGCGGCGCCTCAAGCGCAATTAGAGCAGCGCGATTTGAACGATTTGAACGATCTGAGCGTTCGACGCGCTGAGGCGCAAATCGCTGAA